GGAAAGATCTAGTAAAGTCCATTTAAGTGTTTAGTTCAGGGGCTGAGGACGTAAGTGGTAGAACCACATGGGAGGCATGTGTGAGTGAGTCTGATCCAGACACTCAGGCCGCCTTGAACTCATTTTGGGTAGTCAGAGTAACCCCCAGTACTGCTAAGAGTGGCCTATTGAAAGAGATTTCGTGGGGTGGGGGGAGATAGTGGCCACCCCGGTGATGCTTAGGGGTTACTCCTGGCTCAGCACTGAGGAATCGCTTCTGGTGGTGCTTGAGGTACCATATGGGATGTCATGGGTCATACCCAGGTCGGACGCTTGCCAGGCAAGGACCGTACCCACTGCACTAATTCTCTGGCCCAAAAAAACATATTGAAGAGAACAAATTCAGGGTCAGGGGCCAGAGTGATAATATAGCAGGCAGGGCACTTGCTTTGCAGGTTAGATCTCCAGCACTCCGGATGGTTCTCTGATAACTGTCAGGAGTAAGCCCTGAGCACAACCGGGTGTAGCCCCAAAACAAACATTGAAAAAAAAAAACGAACAAAGAAATAGTATAGAGAGGGGCTGGGGCAGGTTGGGTGTTTGCCTTACATGCGACAGATCTGGGTTCGATCCCTGACACTCTATATGGTCCCCCGAGCCTACGAGGAGTGATCCCTGAGCACAGAGCTAGTAGTCAGCCCTGAGCACCACAGGGTGTGGCCCTGAAACAGAACAAAAATTAAGTAGTCTAGGGGGTATAACACTTGCCTTGCTTGCTGCTGACGCCCCTGTTCGATTCCCAGCCCTGCACATCATCCCACCGCCAGGGGTCACTCCTGAGCACTCCACGTGGCCCAACTACCCCTCCCTAGTAAAGAAATGAAAATTTAAAAACCACATATCCTGGATTCAAACCCCTCCACCTCATATGGTTCCCCGAGCCCACCAGGAGTGATTCCTGAATGCAGAGCCAAGAGTCAGCCCTGAGCACCGGCCAGGTGTGGTCTCCAGATTAATAGTAATAATAATAATAATAATAATTGTTAAGGCCCAAATTCTGTAAATGCTATTACCTTCTGCCAACAGTAGAACTTCCGTTTTTCCCATCCTGAATGACATAAGGCATCTGCTCTTGCTCTCTGTGTGGGAGTGGTTAGGAGCATCAGGATCTGTTTAGCTTGTGGATTCCAGGCCCAGCCTCTTCACCTTTCTTTGTCTTTGAGGACAAAAGAGGCCTTTTTTTTTTTTTTTGAAGTCTCATAATAGCCCTTGGATGGTTTCACTGCCCTTCTCAGGATCTCTCCTGCGCGTCCCCTGCATTCAGCTGCATCATGGTTATCTATTAGAGCAGGAAGGGTTGGTTTTGCTGCCAAAAAGCCTTCGTTGATGGTGCCTGGCCGGAAGCCAGGGGTTTTCAGCTGTGGCAGCATATTACGCCTCTGTCTCCGGGGAGCTATAGAGAATTAATCCCACCCCCAGCACACCCCTCGCTGATTATAACTGATTTGCACGCAGCTCTCGCATCATGAGTACGTCTAGGATTCCTTTTTAATTTTAAGATTGGCATTTTGGGGGGCCATACCCGGTGATACCCATTTTGGGGGGCCATACCCGGTGATACCCGGTGATGGCTGTTCCTGGCTCTGTGCTCAGGAGTGACTCCTGGCAGTGCTGTGGGGATCATGCGCGGTGCTGGGGGGTTGAGGCAAGGTTGTGTGCAGAGCGAGTGCCTTACCTCTTACACTGTCTCTCTGACCCCAGCTAGGATTACTTTCCTCCAGAAACGCCAAATGGCAACTGAAGCTCATCTTCTTTTTTTCTTTTTCACACTGGACTAGAAATTCTCTTGTATTTTATACAACCTGCAATGGTTGGGTGATATCTGTGAAGTTGGGTGTGTCCTGGGCATATTCTGCACACGTGGTTTGTCAAGGGAGTGAATCCTGGGGTTTCCTACCAAATATTCTCCATCCAGAGAGGTGCCCGCCTGCTTCTAGGTGTTGCCTTTCCCTCATCCACATCCCTGAGAAACTCCTTTCCCAATCTCCACCTCCATGTAACTGAAGAAAAAGTGGGTGGAGGACGGGAGAGAGTACAGTAAACAGGACACTTGCCTTGTACACGGCCGACCCGGGTTCAGTCCCTGGCATCCCATATGGTCTCCTGAGCACCAGCAGGAGTGATTCCTGAGTGAAGAGTCAGAAGTAAGCTCTGAGCATCGCCGGGTATGCCCCACCCAAAAAGTGGGTCCTGGGGGCCTGCCAGCAACATGTTTGAGCTCTCCCGCCCTGGCTTCTGAGCACGTTCTGTGGTATTGTCAGCTTTGGAGGGTCATTGACTATGCTAAAGTGCTGTACATGAGGTCCCTAGCCCAGGCTCAGGGCCCAGGCACAGCCGGGGTAGGATTCTCCATTCACAGGTCATGGTTGTGATGTGACCCTGAGTGGGTCTCTGAGCCACTCAGGAGCTTGCTGGTAGCAGCACAGCCCTATTCCTGTGGCCCCCAAGCCTGGCCACGTGACTGCAGATTTGGACAAGCTGTGACTGCGTATTGCCTGAGAGTCTATATTTTGTTTGCAGCCATACTTGGTAGTATTCAGGGGCTGTTCCTGGCCCTGTGCTCAGGAATCACTCCTGGTGGTACTTGGGGTGGCCATCTGTGATGCAAGCACCTTACCCCTCGGTGATCTCTCCTGTCTGAGATTCTGCATTTCTTTTTTTGTTTTTGTTTTTGGATCGCATCCAGCAGTGCTCAAGGCATACTCCTGGCTCTGCACACAGGAATCACTCCTGGCTGGCTTGAAGGGGGCCGTATTCGATGCCGGGGGTTGAACCTGGGTCAGCCCCCTGCAAGGCAAGCGCCCTACCTACTATACTATTGCTCTAGCCCCAGTTCTGCATGTCTTTGTCTGTTTTATTTTGGGGCCACACCATGCAGTGCTCAGGACTTACTACTGGTACCTAACTCAGGGATTACTTCTGATGGTGCTCGGGGGACTGCCAGGATATAATCCCGGTCTGCTACTTGCATGGCAAGCACCTGCCGCTCTACTTCAGCCCCCCAGATTCTGCATTTCTAATAAGCTGCCAGTGTAATGGAAAGACTGGGTTTCCTTCTGGTGGAGGGAAACTCACTGCTTCCCTAGTGGCTTTCTCTCAAAGGAAGCGGAAACACGCAGATTGGAGATTGGAACCTCCCCGGAGACCGCCCATGCCCTGCAGAAGTGGCAGCTGGCGGGGCAGTAGGAAGAGAAGCAGCGGGTGACGTGTGCCGCTGCTTCCTGGAGCTGGTACCGAGCGTGCCCGCCCCGCCCGCCCGGGAGGAAGTGGGAGGAGGAGGCTGGGAGTCTGGGAGGCTGGAACCTGCACCTGACTTCCTGCATCCTGCCAGGGTAGAAGCCTGTTGAAAAGTTGGCTGCTGGGGAGAGCTTGTGCTTTTGGTGACTCCTTGGGTGTCACCTGTGGATGGGTAGAAGGGGAAACTGAGGCAGTGGGGAACGTGTGGCAGTGAAGTCAGCAGGGCTGATGTTGGGGACGAGAGGGGAATATGAGCCAGGTGGAGAAATCAGCTTTGTGGGGCTAAATGTAGGGTTCGGGGTGCAAGGCGGGACCTGGGGTCCTTGCTCTAGGAGTTGTGTAGCCCGACTTGGGGTGGGTGTGGGTTAGCCCTGCAGGGCAGCAGAGGCTGTGGTGGGCAGTGAGGCCAGGGGCCTGCCGAGCACCCCTTCCTCCACAGCTGCCTCTCATGCTTGTGGGGCTCGGAGGGCTGCTCTGTCTGGTGCAGCTTTGCTCGGTGTCTGTGGGCACCTGAGCTCCCCAAAGCTGCTCTTAGCTGGCGCCTGCTCTGCCCCTCTCCCCACCATGATGGGGTGCTCCCCGGGCACACAGGAGCCTCCTGTTCCCCAAATTCTGCGTTTTTGTGTGTGCAGAGGGACCTCGCAGGTGGTGTTCAGGAGGCCGGGACTCCTCCTAAGTGCTCTCGGCCAGCCTGGCATTGCAGTTCAGCTTGAGGGTTGGCGCTGCTGCTGGCGCCGAGGTACCGGGATTACCTGGTTCCTTGGGGGCCTCCTGGACTTGCACCAGGTACTGCCCGGGACACTAAGTGACACTGGAGACCGAATCGGGTGGCCACATGCAAATCACGTGCCTTAGCCCTCTGCTGTGTCTCCACCCAAGGGCTACTCTGGGCTTCCCACAGGCGGGCCAGGTCTGGGTGACCGGGATGGAGGGTTCCAGTCTGTGCTGGTGACTCGCAGTGATCTCAGTCTTCCAGGAGGCCCGTGATGAGCTCCGCGGACAGTGGGGCACCTTGTCTCTGAGTCACAGTCGTGAGGACAGCGCCCTGCACAGTCACTGTTCACAAAGATCCGTTATTTCATTTCAGTCCCGTGGTGCTGGGGCGGGACTCAGGGCTCTGCACTAGGTTGGAAGTGCTCTGCCACGTGAACTGTCTCCCTGACCACAAATCCATTATCCCCCATGGGGAGATGGGCGTCTCAGCTTCATCTGCTGGTGCTGAAGGGGCTACTCCCAGCTAGGGGTTGCCTCTGAGCGCTGAGCATCCCGGCTCTCACTGTCACTCAGGCCGCAGATGCTGTAGGACCTGCAAGGGCGGAGTGTCCTGGATACTGGCAGGTCCTCTCCCAGGCCTGGAGAACCCAGTGCCCAAGTTGGTGTCCAGAGCAAACAGGCCAAGGGGTAGGGGTGAAGGGGGGTAGGGTGGCGTATTCCCTGAGGGAGCTTCTCTCTGTCCTCCCTCCTGGCCGTGCCCCCAGTGGAGACCCAGTGCTGGAGCCTGCCAGGCTGGAGGACCTGGGTCCCCTCTCAGACTTGGAGTGCCAGGGCCGGAGAGAGCGCTCAGAGGGCTGGAGCACAGACTTGCCTTGTAAGCGCCTCCAGTTTCATTCCTGACATCACACAGTTTCCTTAGCACCACCAGGTGTACCCTGCTGCCCCCAAAACCTGGAAAACTAGGAATGCTCTTTGAAGCTGGTCTCTTCTCCCTTCCCCCCAAACTGCAGGCCATGGAGAGTAAGCTGCTTATCGGGGGCAGGAACATCATGGATCACACCAACGAGCAGCAGAAAATGTTGGAACTGAAGAGGCAGGAGATTGCCGAGCAGGTAGGACCCCTGTGGCCTGGAGTCAGGCTGGACTCAGGATCCCTGGGATGACCTGGCACCCCCATCTCCTGTACCCCCGCTTATCCTATGGTACCCCAGAGGTCCACACTGCTTCCGGCAGGAGAGCGGAAATGATCCCACTGCATGAAGCCAGCCTCTACAGGGGATGCGAGTCCCTGGGGTCCCCAGAGGAGGTGCGTCCTCTGCCCGTCCCATTATTTCCTAATGTACCAAGAACCACGGTGGGTTCTTGGGTTGGGTGCCAGATACCCCGGGCATGTGCTCTTCGGGCCGGAGTCTCTGTCTCCGTGGGCAGAGCTGGGCAGAGGCATGGCCCTGTGAGCTGAGAAAGAGCCCAGCTCTGTCCAGGGAGAGGCTGGTGGGCCCTCGCCCCCTCCTGTCACTGAAGGCCACGGCATAGCCAGGAGCCCGGAGTGGCAGAGGCCTGCCCCTGCCGGCCCACCCAACCCTCCCTGGCCTGCGCAGAAACGCCGCGAGCGGGAGATGCAGCAGGAGATGTTGCTCCGGGATGAGGAGACCATGGAGCTCCGGGGCACCTACACGTCCCTGCAGCAGGAGGTGGAAATCAAAACCAAGAAGCTCAAGAAGGTGAGAGGCCCTTGTCTCTCCTGTCCTGGGGCATTAGTCTCCCATTCTGTGACTTTCTATCCCACAAATCAGTGCAGTCATCCTCTGTCTGTCCCTCTCTCTCTGGACTCATTTCACTTAGCATGATACTCTCCATGTTGACCCACTTCTATGCAGATTTCATGACTTCATCTTTTCTAATAGCTGCATCGTATTCCATTGTGTAGATGTACCAAAGTTGCTTTAACCAGTCATCTGTTCTCTGGAAGAACGAGCACTGGTGGAGGGACAGGTACTCGATCATTGTATGACCAAAACGTGATCACGAAAGTTTGCAAGTCTGTAACTGTAGCTCACGGTGATTCGTGTAAAAATATTTTCAAAAATAAAGGAAAAGAAAAAGGGAAAAAAGAAGGTGAGACGCCACGGTGGCGGAGCCCCTAGGCTGCCTGAGGGCCCCTCCCCTTTAGGCTTTGTTTGAGGGCCACACCTGGCTGTACTCAGGGCTTACTCCTGGCTCTGTGCTCCAGGGTTACTCCTGGTGGTCTCAGGGACCACAGGGGGATCCTGGGGATCAATCCCGGGTTGGCTACATGCAAGACAGGTGCCCTACCTGCTGTACTGTAACTCAGGCCCCATAAAGAATGAGTTTTTAATTTTCTTGGTTTTGGGTCCATGCTCAGTGCTGCTCAGGGTTTAATTACTTCCTCTGTGCTCAGGGATCACTCGTGGTGGTGCCCACGGGATCGTCTGCGGTGCTAGGGACCCAACTCAGAGGGGCAAGTGCCATGCCCACTGTACTCTCAGGCCCTGGATTGCCCCATTTTGCTGAGCCCCTGGAATTCCCTTGTCTGGGCTGTTGGTGGAAGACGCAGGAAGGGCAGGGGTCTGCTGATGGGCTGGACCCCAAGTTCTCCTGAGCCAGGCTTGGCCCGATGGATGGGAACACTGTCCCCTTCTATATCAGTAACCAGCCCAGAGGTCCCAGGTCAGGTCCCTGGACGCGGGGTCACTGTGATTCCCTGTGTCTAGCTGGGCCTGGAATTATCCAGAGAAGCAGCAGGAACGCATGAGACTGGAGGGGTCAGGAGGAAGCACCAGGCCCTGGAGGGCGTGTGAAGGGCTGGGAGTGTCCCACCCCAGCCACCCTCAGCGGACAGGGCTGGGAGGGGTGAGCAGGAAGTAGGAAGGTCCAGACCCTGGGGTGGCCGGCACCCACACTTGGCCCTCTTGGGGAACTGAGCTCCCTGGGGCTTAGAGTGCCCGGAATAGGGGAATCCAGCAGCCCCCGGAGAGGCAGGGTGCTTAGGCCTCTCCCCTTTCTGCACACTGATTCCGAAGGGCCAGACTCCCGAACTGTTGTGCTAGGGGCCTCATTCTGTCTGTCTGTCTCTCTTGCTCATTCTGGCAGGCTTGGTGCTCAGTGGCTCCTGGGGGTATTTAGGGGACCAGGAGATGCTGGGGTGGCCCAGAAAGCACGCACACCAGCCCTTTGAACGAACAACCCAGCTCTCGGCCTCTCCTCTGAACTAGTTGTGTGGCCCGGAGCAAAATCTGTGTTTTCTCATGTCTCCAAAGAGCTTGGAGGGGCCAAAAGGTCCCATCCGGCGGGAACATTCCATGATGTTGACAGCAGCCAAGGGACAGGGCAGCCCGGGGCGTGACCATCCTGCTGCCGCAGGGCCGCAGGAAGGAGATTCCGAGCTGGGAATCTTGGCCTCACGCCAGCCCCCTTGGGTTCAGGTGGGCTGACAGGGGGGTGGGAGGTCCCCTAGCTCAGAGACGGCTCCTGTCCCCACGTAGCTGTATGCCAAGCTGCAGGCGGTGAAGGCGGAGATCCAGGACCAGCATGACGAGTACATCCGCGTGCGGCAGGACCTGGAGGAGGCGCAGAACGAGCAGACGCGGGAACTGAAGCTCAAGTAGGAAGGAGGGGGGGAAAAAGCAGGCCGCCCACTTCCTCCGACCCCCCACCTCCCCCACCCCCCGCCTACAGCTCCAGAGGCCCCGCCCACCACAACCAGCCCCGCCCCGCCCACCACGGCTAACCCCGCCCACCGCCCCTGCCTTCCCCCCCCCCCAAGTCACTGGGTCTCTCCCTGGCTTCTCTCTGGTTGTTGCTTTCCCAATTGTTGTCTAAGGGATAGAGGGGTCTGAAGCTCTGGAGTCGCTCCTTTTTCCTTCTTTTCAGCCTCTAGTTGATGTTGCCGCAGCGTGCATGCAGGGACCAGCCAGAAGTAACCCCTTAGAGCCTGGGCTAGCCCCCCCCCCCATCCCAGGCAGGGCACTGTGAATTACTGTGACTGCGGCAGGGCACGCCCCCACCCCCTGCGCTCCTCCCCGCAGCCTTTTGTGCTTACTGAGCTTCATCTTTTCACACCTGTCCTGTAGTTTCTCCATCTCTGAGGTTTCCCCTCTCCAACTCATTCCTGCTCCCAGGTACCTAATCATCGAGAACTTCATTCCGCCCGAGGAGAAGAACAAGATCATGAACCGGCTTTTCCTGGACTGTGAGGAGGAGCAGTGGAAATTTCAGCCTCTGGTGCCTGCAGGAGTGTGAGTCTGTGCCCCAGAGCTCTGGGGGCGAGGGCGGAGGAGGACACAGTGAAAACCTGTGAAACCGAGCTTGCCAGGTGCCTCAGAAAGCCGGGCACTGTCACACCGGCTCTTGCAAACAGGGCGCAGGCGCAGTGCTCCACTCTCCCTCTCGACCTTTTGTTTTCTGGAATCTTCGTATAGGTGTAAGGAGGGGCTTGAAACTTGTGTCTAGTCTACTTGCAAGACAGTCTGGGCTTCAGCACCAATAGGCCCGGCATCTTGAGACGAAAGCAGGAGGTCTCAGGATGAATAGGAGGTTGTTTGTTTGTTTGTTTGTTTGTTTGTTTTATCCTCTGCATTTCCTCTTATGATGCTATTTTAGATCCCGAACCAGGGGTGGGATTTCTGAATGGGTTTTTTCTTGTCATTCCTTCCCGTAAAATACTTGAAACGTATTCACTCCCTCTGGAAAGCAGTTCCTGTAAGATAACGTGACTGAGATGATCTCTTGTAACCCAGCTTCTCAGTGGCAAGTCTCCTAAGGAATCACCACAGTAAAACCGTGTCACACTAGTACCTGGAACTCTGTCTAGCAGCGTCAGTGGCAGAGAATGAGTCAAACATGGCGACTGTCCCGGCAGCAAGCTGTTCTCAACAGCCGCTACCAAGGGCGTGTCTGGGCTCATTTATCAGCTTAGCGTCACTTTCCCTACTGATTCCCATCTCTAGGGGCAGTTTCTATGAGTCAGTGTACACGTTAAGTACGGGGCGGGGATATTTTCATCTCTGTGACCTTAGGGTGGGCAGGACCTTTAATGTTACAGCACCGAAGGAGCTGGAGGACAGTGCAGCATAAGGCCTCCAGGTTCCGTCCCTGATGGTCCCCTGAACACTACCAGGAGCGATCCTGAGCACAGAGCCGGGAGTTAGCCCCATGCACTACTGGGTGCGGCCCTAAAAGCAGAAGGACAAGTAAAGTAAAGTAAAGGCCCTCCCGTTGTTCGTCGATTTGCTCGAGCGGGCCCAGTAACGTCTCCATTGGAGACCTTGTTGTTACTGTGTTTGGCATATCGAATACGTCACAGGGAGCTTGCCAGGCTCTGCCGTGTGGGCCAGATACTCTCGGCAGCTTGCCGGGCTCTCCGAGAGGGGTGGAGGAATCGAACTCGGGTCGGACATGTTGGCTGCGTGCAAGGCAAACGCCCTACCGCTGTGCTATCGCTCCAGCCCCAAAAGCAGAAGGACAAACACCAAAAAAGTATAGCACTGAATTCACAGTAATCTAGCCTAGCAAGGTAACCTATCCTGCTTGGTTGCACGTTTACATACTCTCATAAATTAGTCTAAGCTGATTTTACCCAGGGGACTATCCCGATGTTGGGGTTTTAATCAAGGGGATGATTTCCCACAAATAATCCTTTAGGTAGTTCTCTTCTTTTATTTATTTATTTTTTGCTTTTTGGGTCACACTTGGCAATGCACAGGGGTTACTCCTGGCTCTGCACTCAAAAGTTACCCCGGCGGTGCTCAGGGGACCATATGGGATGCTGGGAATCGAACCCGGGTTGGCCGCATGCAAGGCAAACGCCCTACACGTGGTGCTATTGCTCCAGCCCCAGTTCTCTTCTTTTAGGGCATCGGTTTTACCTGTACTCCAGGGTTTCAACAAATGGGGGAATGCTTAGGAGGCAATGTAGGTGTTTCCAGGCAGGGAGTGTTCAGACTTCAGACAAAAAAAGATTTTTTTCTTTTTTATAAATGTTAACCTGAGATGTAAAAAAATCACCCTAAAAGAGAGTTCAGTAGGCTGAAGTGTGCTTTGCCTGCAGGAGGCCCGGGCATGAGCCCCAGTCGCTCTTAGGCCCCCAGTACCATAGGAAATGTTCCAGGAGCAGCCCCTGAGCACTGGTGGGGTTGGCTCCAAAAAAAGAAAAAAGAAAACCTCTAAAAAAGATGAGGGGCAGGAGAGATTAGTAGAAGGCAAGGTATTTGCTGTGCATTCATCTGTTCCTGGTTCGATCCCCGGCGCCCCATATGGTGAGCCTAGAGCCAGGAGTAAATCCTGAGTTTAATCACACTGTTGAGCATGGTGCAAAATAAAAACAATAAATAAGAAAGGCAGAAGAGGGGCTGGAGCAATAGCACAGCGGGTCAAGCGTTTGCCTTGCACACAGCCAACCCAGGTTCGATTCCCAGCATCCCATATGGTCCCCCAAGCACCGCCAGGAGTAATTCGTGAGTGCAGAACTAGGAGTAACCCCTGTGCATTGCCGGGTGTGACCCAAAAAGCAAAAAAAAAGCAGAAGAGCCTCCCAGCCTCCTGGCGCACGAATGCTACCGTTCGGCCAGTCTGGTATATCAGGTGCCTGAACCAGCAACGCTTAGGGTGAGAGACTCCATAGACACAAGGTGAAGAGGCGGGAGCTCCCAGGTCAGAGGAGAATGCAGAGCAGGATACGGCCTAAGCATGAGTCACCCTTCCCGCCCCATGCACGTGAGTCAGCGTTTCCACCTGTTTCCTCCTGGCCTTGAGGAACGACTGGCGCCTTTGGCTGGGCCTACAGCTCCCTCTGCTGGTGGCTGTGAAAACCGACCTGGGTTTTCAAACCCAACAGGCTCAACCCAACTCATTCATTCATTCAACGGATCCATTGTCCCTAAATTGAAAATCTGGAGGCCAGGAACATAGCTCGTAGCTCAGCAGTAGAGCTCATGTCTTGCATATGTGAGGCCCTGGGTTCAACTCCCCACAACACACACAGAAAGTAAAATAAATTCCTGTAAAAGAAAATAAAATTCCTAGGCCAGAGCAACAGTGCACTTACCCGAGGCTTGGTTCTCCGGCACCATGTTTGATCCCTGAGCACCACTGGGTGTGGCTGTAACCCCCCCCGAACTAAAAAATAAATATAAATAAAAATAAATTTCAAGAAGTAAGGCACTTGCCTTGCATGCAGCCTACCTGGGTTCAGAATATGCCATGCAGATCCCTGGCATAGCATATGGTCCGCTGAGTACTGCCAGGAATGATCGTGAGCATGGCCGGGGTGGGCCCCTGTCTCCCCCAGTCTAGATCCCGAGGTTCTTAGGAGGGCAGATACCCATGCACGGTCCAAGAGTGCCTCTGTTCTCTCTCTCCTGGGAAATGCATGCCCAATCAGGGTAGGAGTCTTGCCTGTGCTGCCGAGACCAGTCGTCGAGTCTCCTGAGGCCCACTGAGGCTGTCTTTTCTGGTTGTGGCCAGGTTGGGAGCAGAGGACTTTTCACTGGTATCCTTTGGACTTCCGTCCACCTGGCCACTCTGGAAGCCCAGAAGAGGTAATGCAGACCTTGGCATGGCGGGTAGCGCCAGTGCCCTGCCAGGGACGCGGCTGGAATCGTCAGGGAGCTGGACAGCAGGGGGTCTCATGGGAGGGGTCGGGGGGACCCTACAACTGAACTTCGCCTCATCGCTTTCAGGTTGAGAGCTAGGCTTGGAGGTCGGAGGGATAGTCCAGGGGCTGAGGAGCATAGGTGGTCCCCTGCGGCCGCAGCCTGCCCAGCCCTCCCTGCTGAGGAATCTTACTGAAGGGACAGTTGGCAGGGCAGTCCCTTTCTTGTGTTGGATGGAGATGAGAGCTGAGAGGCGCTAAGATTTTTGAGGGGGGAGGGGCTGGAGGGGGAGCTTGCTTTTGTTTCTACAAGTTTCTTCTTTGAGAGTCTTCTCAGAAACATCAAAATCCAAAACTCATTTGAAATCAAGAGAGGACTCATCAGAACTCAAACGATTGGTTGAAGACCGTCTTTTTGGAAAAGAAAAGAACAGGGGTGGGTCTGGAGCCATAGTACAACTGGAAGAGTTGGGACCCACCAAACCTCCCCCCCAAAAAAACCTTAAAAAATAATTTAGAAAAAGAATGTCTTCTAGGATGACTTAGATGAAGTTTGAGTACTTTCTCAAATATATATATATATATAATATATATATATATATATATATATATATAGGCAACACTGGACGGTGCTTAGGGCGTCCTTCTGGGTCTGTGCTCAGGGATCACTCCTGGTCGGGCTCAGGGGACCATATGGGGTACCACCTGCAAGGCGAACCCCCTGCCAGCTGTACTGCTGCTCCAGACCCATGACTTTATTCTTGAATCTGGGAAGGTAGTGCAGGGATGAGGCTTGTACCTTGCATGCAGCACAACCTTGGTTCTGTCCTTGGTACCATGTGTGAGGCCTGGGAGGCCGAGAATCATCTGGATGAGCCTCCAGGTCAAGCTGCCTCAGCTCGGCTGACCGCCTTCGAATGAATTAGATTTACTCATTTATCCTCCCTTTTATTTTTATTTATTTATTGGGCTGGAGTGATAGCACAGCAGTAGGGCGTTTGCCTTGCACGCAGCCAGCCTGGCCGAGCCAGGTTCGATTCCTCCGCCCCTCTCAGAGAGCCTGGCAAGCTACTGAGAGTATTCAATATGCCAAACACGGTAACAAGAAGTCTCACAATGGAGATGTTACTGGGCCTGCTCGAGCAAATCGATGAACAATGGGAGGACAGTGTTGAGCGTTGAGGGTTTATTTTTATTATTATTTGAAATGTGGTGATCATATCATTAGTGAAGATAAGGTTATTTTTTAATTTTTGGTTTTCGGGCCACACCCAGTGATGCTCAGGGCTTTACACTCAGGAATTACTCCTGGCAGTACATGGCGGGGACCATATGGGATGCTGGGGATCACACCCCAGTCAGTCATCTGCAAAGTAAGCACCTTATCCTCTGTAGTATCTCTCCAGCCCCCTATTTTTTGCTTTCATTTTTGAGAACAAAAACTTGGTATTGTCGGGGCATACCTGGTGATGCTCAGGGCTTACTCCTGGGTCTGTGCTCACGGATCACTCCTGGCAGCGCTCAGGGGACCCTATGGGGTTCTGGGGATCAAGCACTGTCTCTTCTGTTCTCAAGAATTCAAAATGTTAAGAATACAAAGAATTCAGATATATCCTTCATCAAATTTTACTAGCTGTTACTGTATAT